ACACACACACACACACACACACACACACACACACACACACACACACACACACATAAACAGACACAGTTTTATCTCTACAGCCTCACTCCTTTAACATGTATGATTGAAGCGTGCACCAGTTTAAGACTTGTTCAAAGCAAAGTAAGATATGTGTTTATTTTCTGAAGCCAAAGTGAGCGTCGTAACGCTGCTACACACGAGCAGAGCCAAGTGTCTGCTCTGCTGCTCAGGAAAATTAGCTGATGCTGATGCTGTCGTTTTTCTTTGTCCAGCCTTTTAACGGTACGAGGTAAAACTTGAGGTGTCCGGAGGTAGTATCCTGTCCTGTGTGTGTGTGTGTGTGTGTGTGTGTGTGTGTGTGTGTGTGTGTGTGTTAGAGAAGGTGGGGGGTTGGCGTTACAGACTTGTATTACAGTGATGATGGGTCGCCTGGCTGTAAGTCTGATACCTCAGCAGCACCCAGCATTGACCAGGCCTTTAAATAAAGCCTTCGATCCTCCAGYAGCAGAGAAGGTCACCGCCTGCCTCTGGTTACCCTGCCTGTCTGTCTGCATCCACGGACAGGAGGCCCTCYGCCCCCACTCCACTCTGAACGTTCACATCCAAATCCAGGTGCCTTCCCTCCATCAGTCCCTCCACGTTTCCCCCACCAAACTGGTCTCCATTCCCTCCTTCTTTCCTCAACAAGTATCAGATGTAAAAACAACAACAAAYTAGCCCTCCTATTCTTTTTCTCACTGTTAATCCCAGTGTTCATCCATCCCCATGTCAGCCCCAGATAAAAAAATAAATAACGTTCAGTGTTTGTTTTTCCCCCCTCTCTGCAAAAAGAGAAAGGAAGATGAAAGGAGTCAGTGGGGTCAGGAGAGGGGTCAAAGGTCGTGGCCTCATCCCATGAGCACTGTGCATGTCACCCACGCACCCCCCTGTCATTCAAGCAGAGCTCCAGAGAAAACACTGCATGCAATCGATGGAAGGAGAGCGCAGCGCTTACTGTACAAACGTACACAGAACAGGAAAATGATATTAATATTTGTTTTACGTGCATAAGGAAACTCAAATTAGTAGTTATCTAGAACTAGTTTTGTCTACGTTTGTGATGATAAACAGTAATTTTTTTTATCTTAACTATTGCTAAGATTTTTGGGCAGTTTTGGTAATTGTTCAAATTAACTTTTGAGAAGCATATGTAAGAATAAATAAATTTATTCGTGTTTTACAATTATTTTACTATATGTTGCATTTTTTTCATAAATCATAGTTCATAAGACTGCACTCTTGAATGCAGAGTTTTGAGWCAGATATTGTTTTTTTAAAATGTAAATGACAGAATAGTTTCTATGTTGTCATTTTAACAGCTCTTACACACAACAATAAGCTCAACACAAGCAGGATACACTCCACTTTCTGATGAAGCTGCCAGCAGACAGGAAATTTAAATTGCAAGAGTCTTGCATCACTCCTTTCAAAGTTCACTTGTGTTTTTCTTTTCTCATCTTAGTTGTCAGTGAAAAAACACAACATGACAGTGTTTCATTTTAACAAAGTGTCCCAGATTAGAGGCTGAAACGTTTGCGTTACCTCCGTCTCCAGGCTGGCGGGACCAAGAGAACACGGGTCTCTATCACAGATGGAGGAATTTTCTCGACGTCCTGCAAAAAGAACAGAACAGGAACAAATGTTAACGTGACTTAACAGTGACCTCATCTTTAAGTGCAACATTAATTTGAGATATTTGACTTCAGAACTGGTCTGTGAAAGAAGAGAGCAAACAAATAGCTATGAATTCTTTGTTTAGTTTCTACTGCGGTTTAAATTTCCCCTAAAGTCTATGAAAGTTAAMGATATAAAAGGCTGTTGTAGAACTCAGAGCTGTAATGTTATAATTTCATTTAGTTTAGGATCGTGTAAAAAATGCAACAGTTTAAATGACAAAACAAAATCAGACAAAAACAAACAATTAAAAAGGAAATAAACTGTTGAATACTTTAAATTTAAGCATTATTTCAAGAGTTAGATTTGGTTTACAGTTTAGGCTTTAAAAATAAGTAGCCTATACTTATAGTATATATA